GAACCTAGATAGGGATGTGTAGGGGGGTGATCGGGAGGAAATTGTCCTGGAGATGACAGAGTCAGTGGGGGAACCGGGGTTTGTTGATGAGCCCGACTGCGGATGGGAAGAAACTGTTCATGTGGCGTGAGGTCTTGGTCCTGATGGACTGCAGCCTCCTGCCAGATGGAAGGGGCATGAACCGTTTGTGTCCAGGGTGAGAGGGGTCGGCTACATGATAAATTGTAGATTGTCTACAAAACTCTGACTGCAACAGTCAGTGTGTCTTTGTCATGCGGCTCAACAGTTCGTTCTCCATGATGTGGTTGGGACACAGGTCAGGAAGCCAATGCTCATCTTGAGTCATAGCCGTTTTTTTGGCCCACATTACCTTAGCACGGTGCCTCAGCCTCTTGCTTATTTTGACAGAGCGATAATGCTAATCAGGCAGTGGCTCACTGCACTTTGCCTCAACTGGTTAGCGCTAGCATAATCCACACTCGCTCCGTGTTGTGTGGGCTGTGGTGGCAAGTCTGATGCTAATGAGTAAATGAATTGTGATTAGTGAGTCAACGCCGCATGTGTTAGCCTGCTAGCCTGGCGGACTAGTGCTGGATCACTGGCTCAGTCATTAGCATCCTACTCATGTTAGCGCTAATATACTGTACATATCAGTTCTGACGTTATTCACCCTGCCAACACACACACACACACACACACACACACACACACACACACACACACACTGTGCAGAGAAGCATTGGCCCAGCTTGTTGTGTCTGCTCACTTGGCCAAATTGAAAATCTGGTGCATGCAAGGGCCGTTTGAAATCCGCCTCTTGCACTGTGGCATTACATTAGTGGTAGCAGCGCTGGAGAAATGCTGGAATATATGTGCATGTAAGCAAACACAGACACGCTCACAAATAGAGACATGCATGACAACACAGCTCCCAGGTAACAGGGCTTGCTATTCTGAAATGAAACGGGTTTGTTCCCAGCCTCCGTTAGTCATGTAACCCAGTGCTGACATGAGTTCCTGTTGTACTCTCCCCCTCCATCTCCAGGATAGTGAGTAATTAGAAGCAGATGGAGCTGAGACTAGTGTAGTCAGACTGTTATTTTAGCCCCCTGCACAGCCACTTGTATGCCCTCTCTTTTCCTCTCAGGCCTGTATTCCATATTCAGACACTAATTCCTGACCTTAACACAACACGGCAGCCTTAATATTGAATATGTTCCAGTGATCGCTAGAAGTTTGGGCACTTCTTGTTTTCAAAACATACCGAAGGAGATATTACGAAGGCTGCAGTATGTAGCGGCTGTTGTAAGAAAGAGAGATACATCATGGGACATAGGAATAGTTACTTTCATTTGGTCACTCCTTGTGTTCAGGCCTACATCCCATTTTGACATCAAAGGGTGCCCAAAAATCACTGACACCCGATCAGCTTTTACTCATTTCAAGATTAAGATCAAAGGAGTTTCTAATCCGACTCCAGGTCAGCACTTAATAGCAACTTGTACTTTACCCTCTTCATTCTCATTGTGATAGTCTCCTCTTCTGCAACAGTGGATTTGGTCATAAGAAAGCCAACAATAAACTAGTATTCCTACAGCACAAGATTGCTATGCTCACACACAGCTGCTTATGGTTTTATTGAAGTACAATATAATATAGCATCCCTTTATAGTATAACTTAAAATAAGCTGATTTTAAATTAGCTTGGACTGTAACAGAGGTTTCTCCAAGTTTAAATGCTAAAAGATTGCAGGACAAATCAAATAACAACGATAGCAAAGTGAAAACATATTGTTAAAGTCAGGAAAGTAAAATAATTCAGTGGAAACATTTTTTGTAGTTATTGACATTTAGAAGCATCCATTCTTGGATTGGCCTTTGAAACGTTGCCGCATGTCGTACCGCTCTCTGCCCATCCCCCATTTCTACACTGTCCTCTGACAAATACAGGTAAAAATTTCAAAAAAATAAATCTGAAAGAAGCAGTATCCATTCTTCTCATTTGATGTGATCTTGTTATTTCAACCACTGAAGGTCCACTTAGCTGGCTAATGTAGTTTGATTCAACAGCCCTTTAATGGACGCTTCTTTCATCAAAGTTATAATGTTTAGAGGTGTTGATGTATTATACTGAGCCATTCTCTTATTATTGATTTATACAAACACCTGTTGTATTAGACTGCATTGGTTTTAGCTCGGGGGTCCTAATAAAGTGGCATCTATGTCTATGTGTAGTTTGAAAATGAAATATTGAACCTATGGTTATTGCTATTTTCTTTTGGTAAAGTGCACCATACACTCACTTCAACATATTTGCTCAATAATTGCCTCCTTCGCCCAATGGAGAAAAAAATAAAATATGATTTGAATATGATTTTCCCAGATTTCATTTCTTTTCACTTCATCAGATTCATATCTTCATGACTAGACGGTGGATATGTTGTTAGGCACCACATTGTTGCTAGCAACTGCATTTGTTTCTTCCACACTCACCCAATCGCAGGCCTCCACTAACGTGCGATGCCACCTCACCCCCTACAACATTTTTAGTGAGCAGCATCTTAGTCACATTTCTTTTTCCAATAAGCGGGATGTGAAGTGGTGCCCGGCTCCCCGATAATGACACATATTGTGGTGACGTTAATGCTGGATCAAAGGGCCGGCTGCTTCATGACATTTCAGCTGGGGTAAACAAACACAGACAGGCCCATTACCGAGTGAGCGGAGCGAGGGATGACTACCTCCAGCACCCCCTCGACGCCCAGCAAACCACCCCCACATCAGCAGGGTAAAAGGGCAACTACAGGTAAACAAACCGGCCTCATTTAGTTTGTGTGTGTCTGTGCTTCTGCGTTTCCACTCTAGGTTACAGTACTTCCAGCTCATCTCCTTTTACAAGGCGAGGCCATTACATAATTACCCAGTGTCAATTAGATCACATCCTGTGCGGCAGTGCCGGCTGAAGCCATGTTAATTAATCATTGGTCCCCAGAGATGGCTTGCTCTTGCTGATGTCATGGTCATCGCAACCACAGTTGGCGAGAATCACGGAAAACGGCTGTCTGTCACTACAGTGAGACAGAGAGACATGGAGGGCATTCCTCACATTGCCTTTGATACAACAGGAGTCTAAGCAGAGTGTGAAAGTGCTGGTTTATGATTATTTCT